GCTCAGCGCTGCTGCCTGCCCGGCCGCTGCTGTCGCTTGGGCTGCTGCAGCTGATCCTGGGCTGCTGCATGGTGGCGCTCAGCTTCGGGGCGCTGTCGCTGAGCAGCTCCCCACAGGTGAAGAACTCCTGTCCATTCTGGGCTGGCTCCTCGGTGAGTACCGCGCGCCCCTCCTCGTTTAAGAACTCCCGCGGAGTTGGGGAAAGGCAAGAGACTCTGGCCTGCCTTCTCCACTGCCCCTTGGTAAGCGCCCAGACAGCACTTGGGGCGCACAGCCCCACTAGAAGTTTTTGGAGGCGTTGAGGCGGAGAAAAATGTTCCGAGATCTAGTTCAGGGGCGAATTTGATTGCACTTGGGCAGTATCTATTCGTTGCCTGCTAAAGGAGTTTATTGTCTCTGTCAGGCTCATAGAATAAAACAAAGATATCCAGCTCTCTGGGAGATTGGAAGGAGGCCGGTGAGTGGCAGGAAAGTGGGAGCGAAATGATTCAACTTATTTTGGCCGTTAAGTGCACTGACAGTGTCTGCTGCAGAAAGGCAAGAGTTTTGATCTGTTTTGCTCGCTGCTGTGTCAACAGTGCCTGGCCCGTAATAGGTATATTTGTAGGATGGCTGAAATGACAGGTTGCCTGGGGCAGCCACTTGTTTTTATTTCTCATTAAGGCACACGTATATGTGAAATGTATCTGGTGTAGCATGGCTCCACTCCATGGCGAGACAAGTTCAGAAGGTAATGAGAGGGTGTGTGTAAACACGCCCTTGTACCTGGTCATTAAAGAAAGGCCCTAACCGCGTGGGTTTCTGGAGCCATGCAGTCTGCCGAGTGGAATTTAATTCTTGAGGGCCTGAACGGTGTTATTAGAGATAAATTCGCCAAAGCTCCAGGAACATGAGGCAGTCAGCTGGAGATGTCTGCCCCCTCCAGGATCCAGTCCTGTCCTCCTTCTACAGAGAAGGCTGATCTCAGGGGAAAAGCTACCCAGCTTGTGAGAAAGGCTGCTACCAGCCAGTTTGTGGAGGTTGGATGGTTGCTCACTCTGCCTCCTAACTATTTCACAACTTCCAAGGTATTCAACCCCTTAGGTTTTGGGGGAGGTGGGTTGTGAAACTTGGAAACAGGTCATTGTAGGATGAGTGTGGAAGATGAGTAAAGTAAATGGTCCTTTTTGTGAACTAACTACATCCAAAAAGCTAGCATTGTCCATAGTTTTTACTAACATCTGCATGTGTGCATTTTTTTCCCTTTTAAAGGATGATTTTATTTAACTTTATTTACTTTAATTTGACCAGAGAGGGACAGAGTGAGCAAGTCAGAGAAAGAGAGGAAAAGTGAGAAAGCAAGCCACCAGGTCCAGGACTCAGACCAGGGTTGGCCATGTGGGATTCCAGCACCCTTAACCACCACACCACCTGGGGGCCAAGTGTATGTTCTTGAGTGCATAGAATATTTTGCAGGCAGGCTCACACATACACATATCCAAGTTCAAGGCTAGATTTTAAGAATGTAAGGAGAACTAATTGAACCTAAAGTAACTGTTTGAATAAGGACATTAAGTTCCTTAAGCCTAGCCTGAACTTTTATACTTCCAACTGAGTGCCAAGTTGCTTTCCTTTGGAAAGACTCTGCCATGGGATGATCTTATTGGAGTGTACCCTGAGCTGTTGTGAGAGGACTCCATCCCTATCTGGGCTTTGCTGTTGGCCTCTATGAGGGTTCTGGAAAATTCCAAAAGGATGGCTCTTCCAAATTGGTAGGAATTAGATTCATTATGCTCCTTCTCCACTTGTTGGACTAAATGAAGCTGCAAGGTGGGTATTCGTTTCTCTAAATACCACAGGCCAGTAATGACTCTTGCATACATTTTCAGGTATTTTTCTCTCTGTATAGTTACAACTTATGTTGTCAAAGAAAGCTAGGTTAGAATGATTTAAAACTTTTTTCTTTTTCTAAAATTAAAACTCGAAATCAGCTTGTTATTATGAATTATTGCAGAGGCAAGTTCAGTTAAGCTATAGAAAGATTTGATGAAGTATTAAAAAAGGTCATCCACCCAAAGATGAAGCCAAAGACCCACCATGTTTGTTCAAAATGGCCGCTCTCCATACCCTGGGTGTCCTGGCTAGGCAGAGCCTTGTCTCAAGGTCTTAGCAAACCAGAGCAGGGATGAATCAGTGGTTGGGAGCTGACAGGTTCCCTTTTGTACATTGTTCCCTGACTCCCAGGTATGCAACCCTGTAACTATTGGTTATTTCTATATTTTCTGACCTGTTCCTGAGGTTGACCTCAGAATTTGCATAGTGACAGCAAAACTAATGGATGCTATATGTACAGAACAGCTCAATATGATTTTAAGAGGATGGTATTAGGCACCATGATTCTTTTGGTGTTTTAGGAAAAAAGGTCTCACATGTTTCACGTTTTGAAATTATGTGAGAGGGAAATTGTTTATAGTTTTATTTTTAAACACTATTTTATGGACAAACATAAATACATACAGACACTGTACACTGAACTAATATATACCATTCACCCGACTTCAACATTGGTTTCATCTGAAACCCCTGCCTGGGCTCTGCCGCTGGCCCTGTGTGTTCTGATAAATTCTAAGAGGACAGGGTTCCAAGTAGAGTAGGAATTAGATCCTTCATGCCCCCTGGTGCATTTGTCAGATTACATTCCCTTATTATTTTGAAGCAACTCCAGGCATCACATCATTTTATCTGTAAATATTTCAATGTTTATATAGTTTTAAAAAGAAGCCATAACCCGCATGAGAAGACGGAAATACGTGACCAATAAGTTTTAATACCTCCCCTCTACTTTTAAAATTTTATAATGAGAAATTTTAAAATCTCAACCAAGATAGAAAGAAGAGTATGATGGGCCCCCATTCATTCATTGCCAAGCTTCAGTAGCCATCAACACATGGCCACTCTATCCCCGACACCCTCCCCCTTCTTACTACCTACTGGATTATTTACAGGCAAATTCTAGGTATCATCACTTTTGCCACTGAGTATTTAAAAAAAAAAAGAGGGCTTAGTAGCATATTATAAGTAATTCAAAGACAGTAAAACTAAAGTTTTTATGAAGAAAAGCTGAAAAAAAGTGACTTGAGGACTACAGAAATTAAAAAAAAAAAAAACACCTTATTGAGATATAGTTCACAAGTCATACAAGTCACCTGTTAAAAGTGTACCATTCCGGGACCAGCAGTTAGCATAATGGTTATGTTGCTGGACTCCCATGTAGTCAACAGTGGTTCAAGTCCTGGACCCAGTGGCTTCAACTCACGCTGGGCGCGCGTGCGTGCATGCCAAGGATGCCGAGAGGAGAATGGAGGAGAAGGGATTGTGGTGTGGCTGTCCCCCTGAGGAGGTGAGTTCTCACTTTCTGTCTCTCTGTCTCTCTTGTCTTTCTGGCCAGCACACGTGCCCTATAGCAAAAAAGTCTCCAAAAAAAATGATAATAATAATAAGTGTACCATTCCTTTTGTTTGTTTGTTTGTTTGTTTTTTGAGAGAGAGATTTTTGTTATAGGGCCTGTGTGCTGGCCAGAAAGACAGCAAGAACTCACCCTCTGGGGAATGGCCATGCTACAGTCCCTTCTCTTCCATTCTACTCTCAGGATTTTGGGATGCACAAACACATGTCTAGCATGAGTTTCAAGCCACTGGGTCTGGGACTTGAACTGCTATCAACCATGTGGGAGTCCAGTGATGTAACCATTTTGTCATCTGCTGATCCCCTATTCAGTGGTTTTTAGTGAATTTGGAATTGTGCAACCTTCACTACAATTAATTTTAGAATATTTTCATTACCCCATTCCCCCCTACCTCTACCCTTCTGTCACTAGACATTCACTTTCTGTCTCTATAGATTTTACTATTCTAGACACTTCATATAAATGAGATCATGTTATATGTAGTCTTTCATGACTGGCTTGTTTTTTAAGAATTATTTAATTTATTATTATTTAATTTGAACAGAGAAAGGCAGAGAAGGAGAGAGAGAGGGAAAGTGAGAAAGCCAGTTGCCAGGATTGGGACTCAAACTACAATTGACCATGTAGGAGTCCGGTGCCTTCACCACCAAGCCACCTGCCAGCCCCTATGACTAGTGCCTTTCACTAAGTGTGTTTTCAAGGTGCATCCATGTTGCAGCATGTATCGGTACTTCATTCCTGTTTATGGCTGAAGGAAAATGATATCCATTGTGTGAGCATACATGTTTATTTATCCACTCAGAAGTTTATTGGCATATGAACCTAGGTAGTTGAGTACAAGTGCCAGCTTAAGTGTAAGGTTACTTCAGACCTGCACAGGGACATCGTAGAAGAATATCCTCATATTTCAAGTTTGGAATGACCATTAGGTACACTAGCCTTCTATAGCAACTAAACTGATAAATCTTTTAGCTTCAGTAAAAATTTTGTTTGTATATGTGATAGAAAAGTAGATTCAAGGGATAAATATATTCAGTAGGAAGGATTGTTTTATTGAATGTGGTATAGTTCAAGGATAATTTTCTTTCTCTTTTTTTGAGGTATAATTAACATGCTTTATTGAGATAAAATTCACCCTTTTAAAATGTACAATTTGGTGGCTTTTCTTTTTTGATTCTTTTTAAAAAATTTTTTATTATTATCATCATAATCTTCTTTATATTAAAAAATATGGAACACTTCACGAATTTGCGTGTCATCCTGGTGCAGGGGCCATGCTAATCTTCTCTGTATCGTTCCAATTTTAGTATATGTGCTGCCGAAATGAGTACAAGGATAATTTTCCATATAGACCTCTCTAAGAGTTCTCACTGGAGCCTAAGATTTTTGAGGCTTTGTTCACTTGTCTGACCTTAAAGATGTATTTTATCTATTTTAAAGTAAATTTAAGAATTAACAAATCCTGTAAAGTATGTTTTTTCAGGGACCAGCAGATGGCATGACGGTTATGTCACTGAACTCCCACGTAGCTGACCACAGTTCAAGACCCGGACCTTGAAACTCACACTGGGTGTGTATACGTGCATGCCCAAACTCCAGGAAAGAAACTGGCGATTATGGCAGGGTGGCCATACTCTCTGAGGAGTGATTTCTCCCTTTTTGTTTCTCTGTCTCTATGGTAAATGCATGTGCCCAATAGCAAAAATC